CCGTGGGGCCCCCAGGGGCCCTCTTGAAGGCCCCTGGGGGCCCCACTGGGGGCCCCTGGGGGGCCCTTTTGCTGCCTTGTGATTAGGGGAGAGCTGTCGGTACACCTGATTGAGTTAAACCTAGTACTGACATTAGGAAGTTGTGGAAAATGGGGATCTGAGAAGAAGAAACAAAATAAACCCTAAACCCTAAACCCTAAACCCTAAACCCTTGAGGAGGATAGGCTTGTGGCCTCGAGACGGCTAAGGTCTTCTCCCCTGAGCAGCAACGTGAGGAGCCCAGGCGCCTTAGACACAAGGGTTCAGGGTTTAGGGTTTAGGGTTTAGGGTTTACCAGAACTCCAGCGTCGCTGCGCACTACTGCATTTACGGCCTGGGAGGTTTTGGAAAGCGACAGCTGCAGCAGCAGCAGCAAATTGTTCGTTGTGACACACGAAAAGTAAAGCGCCTCCTGCAGCAGCAGCAGCAGCAGCAGCGGCCAATGAGTAAGATAGGTAGGTGGCGGCAGCAGCAGCAGTAAATAGTACAGCAGGTAACAGGCAGCAGCAGCAGCAAGTGAATATAACAGGTGAATGACAGCAGCAGCAGCAGCAGCAAATGAACATAGTAGGCAAATGGCAGCAGCAGCAGCAGCAGCATGAGCCGCTGATGAGCAGCCAGAGGAGCAGCAGCAATGCTGCTAGTGATAAATTACAGGACAAAAATAAAAAATAAAAAATAAAAAGACTAAATAAACAAACAGAGGAACCAGAATAGCAGCAATAGTGGTAAGCAGCAGCAGCAGCAGCTACAGCAGCAGCAGCAGCTGCTGCTGCTGCTGGACCATCGCTGCAGCTGAGGGTTTAGGGTGAAGAGACCATAGTTGAGGCCCAGACTAAGGCCAGCAGCAAGGGCTTAGGGTTAAGGGTTTAGGGTTTGAGGTACATAAGCTTCTGCTGCTCTCTGGGCCACGAGGCTTATCCGCTGCTGCTGCAGCAGCACAATTGCATCTTGAGGGTTTAGGCGCTGCTGGCTGAGGTAGTCTCTGCAACCCTGAAAATAAAAAAATAAGTAAATAAATAAATAAATGAATAAATAAATAATAAAAAATAAATAAATAACAAATGAAATAAATCAATAAACATGAAGAGGTGAAAAAACGAAAAGAAAGGCGCAAAAGGATGCATTTAGGTACAGGGCAGCTTGCGGCGCGTAAACCCTAATTTAGAATTTAGGGTTGCGGAGTTGCCCGTTCTCTCAAATCCCACTTCTGAGCTTCGGGTTGGCTCGGCTGCGTAAACCCTAATTTAGGGTTTAGGGTTTACCTGTTTGGCCTCGCCGAGGGCCTGCCACTGCTGCCTGAAAAGGTCTTTTTGAATTGGAGGTTTATCTTCTAAAACATCTCCAAGAGCGTAAGAAATGGGAAAGTATATTACACCCAATGAAGTCTTCAAAGCTGCCTGCAGCAGCAGCAGCAGCAGTCGCAGCAGCAGCAGCAGCAGTTGCAGCAGCAGCATCAGGAGCACCAGCAGCAGCACCAGCATCAGTAGCAGCAGTAGCAGCAACAGCAGCGCTTGCAGCAGAAGTAGTAGAAGCAGGAGCAGCAGTAGTAGCAGCACCAGTATCAGTAGCAGCAGCAGCAGCAACAGTCAGCAGCACCAGCAACAGTAGCAGCAGGAGCAGCAGCAGAAGCAAAGCAGCAATCAAAAAGCACACACAGCAAAACCAACGGAAGCTGCGGCTGCTGCGGCGCGGCCTCTAGCCCCCCTGGCCCAACTAGGGTTTAGGCTTAGCGTTTAGGGTTTAGGGTTTGCCTGGATGGTGAGGGGCTCTGCGGGGGGCGTGTTGGAGTTGAGTTTGTTGAAGGCGAGGGAAACTAGGGTTTCGTGAAAACCCTCGGGAGATATTTCGAAATTAGAAAACGAGGGTTTTGGAGAAACCCCGAAACTGTTGGAGTTAAATTGCAAGTCCGAAATAAACACTGAAAAAGGGTTTTTGTTCCGCACCCGCACGCACAGGCTGCTGCCCCCTGAAGCCGCACACCCAAACCCTAAACCCTAAACCCTAAACCCTAAACCCTAAACCCTAAACCCTGGAGCCTGGGGGTTCAGCCCTAAGAGCTCGCACGCAACGATAAGGGGAGGGATTACCGAAGAGCGTCTCAGTGATCCAAACCCTAAACCCCAAACCCTAAACCCTAAACCCTAAACCCTAAACCCTAAACCCTTAGCTTCAGCACTCAGTTTTTGCCTTGAGACAGAGTTCTGCAAGCTGGAGCGGCCACGGCCAGGGACCTGCGGTTTAGAACTTGGGAACTAGGGTTTAGGGTTTAAGGTTTTGGGTTTAGGGTTTAGGGTTTACCGCCTTCGGGCCTGAAGAAAGCAGTTGTGATCTCTAAACCCTTTTGCTGCCTCGCATCTGGGGTTTCTGCTGCAAGCAATGAAGTGTGTTGCGCGGAAAAGGCCTTCTGCAAACATACCCTAAACCCTAAACCCCAAACCCTAAACCCTAAACCCTAAACCCTTAGCTTGATATCTTAATGCCCAACCATAGGCGAGAGAGCTCTAACCCTAAACCCTAAACCCTCAGCTCCAGCGAGACCCTCAGCTCCAAGCCCTCGACCCTCAACCCTCTGACACCCCAAACCCTAAACCCTAAACCCTCACCGAGGACGCGCCGGAAATTGAAGAATCGCTCAAATCTAGCAGGTCCACGGGGCTGCTTCTGCAAAACCACAAAACACTTTTTCTAAAATTTTGCACGCAGCCAAAAAAAGTCCCAAGACATGCATGTGCACCCTAAACCCTATACCCTAAACCCTAAACCCTAAACACGCGAAATGAATGCATGCATACGCCTTGAAAGCACCAAACGTATGCATGCATGCAGAGCTCAATGTCACTCAGTGCGACAATTAGGGTTTAGGGTTTAAGACGAGGGTTTGGGGTTTGCAGCTGCGGGTTAGGTAATTCAGCTAGGGTTTGTTGTTTGCAGCTGGGGTTTAGGGTTTGCAACTAGGGTTTAGGGTTTGCGGCTAGGTCCTAGGGTTTGCTGCGCCGAGCGCCTCACTCTTCGGAGTCCGAGAGCGCGCTCCTGCTCCTACTCCTGCTGCTGCTGCTGCCGCTGCTGCTGCTGCGGCTCTGCTGCTGCTGCTGCTGCTCTAAGGCCCTTCTGGCCCTCTCAACAACCTGCTGCCCCGACTCTTCTTGCGAAGAAAAGCTCCCCAAAGTGGGGCCCCCCAGGGGCCCCTCAAGGGGCCCCCCAGGGGCCCCCAGGGGCCCCCCAGGGGCCCCCGGGGGGCCCCCAGGGGCCCCCGGGGGGCCCCCGGGGGCCCCCTGGGGTGCCCCCGGGGGCCTCGTTTTGGGTACGAAAGTTTCGGGGAGTTTGTGGTAGACAGAGGCGACCATAGAAATGTTTCCTGAATTTAAAAACAAATTAAATAAATAAATAAATAAATAAATAAATAAATAAATAAATGAAAATGAAATAAAGGTGAAGGGGAGACATATAGACACCAGGACACCAGGAACAGAAACCCTAAACCCTCAATTAAACCCTCAATTAAACCCTCAAGTAAACCCTCGAGCAAACCCTCAAGTAGAACCTCAAATAAACCCTCGAACAAACCCTCAAGTAAACCCTCAATTCAACCCTCGAACAAGCCCTCAAGTAAACCCTCAAATAAACTCTCAAACAAACCCTCGAGTAATCCCCCAAACGAATCTGAAATAAACCCTCAAATAAACGCCTTGATAAACCCTCGCATAAACCCTAAAAGGGGGAAAAGACCTAAAAGCTCTTCTAGGGTTTCTTTGTCGAAGTCCATTTCGCTGTCTCCGACGAAATTTCTCGAAAAAAGAATTTTCCGAGTTTTTTCTGGATCTTTTGAAAGCATTCTCCAATAAATAACAGCTGCAGCAAAAGAAAAAACGGTTTTAGTCCACTTTCATCAGACCTACGGTTTAGGGTTTAGGGTTTAGGGTTTAGGCCTGGGGAACTCAGGGAGCGTCGGCGCCGGCTGCCTATCTAAGACCTAGGGTTTAGGGTTTAGGGTTAAGGCGTGAGGCCCTGCTTATCTGCAGCTTGGGGTTTAGAGTTTAGCGAGGGTTTAGGGTTTAGCGAGGGTTTAGGGTTTGGCTAGGGTTTAGGGTTTGCGGGCCTCTGTCTCGGACGTCTGGGCTTGCTGCTTGTTCGGTGGCGGCTTTGAGAAGAGCTGCGAGGGTTTCTTTGTGCTGATTAGGGTTTAGAATAAAAAGGCGAGCAGCAGCAGCAAGGGTTTGCAGCTGCACTGCTGCTGCTTCTTCCAGAAAAGAAGACACAGCAGCAACCAACACAGACACTGCTGCTGGCACCTCCTGCGTGAACTGCCCTGCGCAGCAGCAGCAGCAGCAGCAGCAACGGTAGCAGCAGCAGCAGTGGCAGCAGCAGCAGCAGCAAAGGTAAGAGACAAGTGGTGGTTTGGAAGGCAATAAGGAAATAAAAAAGACAACTATGGAAATAAATAAAAACAAATTGGGAGACAGACAAGCAAATAAACAAACAAACAAACAAATAAATAAACTAATTAATTAAAACAAATAAACAAACCAAATAAATAAATGAATAAATAAATTAGTTAATTGATTAAAAATAAATAAATAAACAAATACCACAAATCCAAATGAGTGCCGCCTTCGCCTCGGGCTCTTCGATTTGGTCGGCGGCGGCGCAAAGCGCAGCGACGAGTGCGGAGTAATCCCCGGGGTACTTTCTACAAATAAGTAAATAAGTAAATAAGTAAATAAGTAAACAAATGAAAAAATAAATAATAAATAGATATTATCATAGATCATTTTATTTGGAGCAGAAAGCGCGAAAAACGAGCGCAGGGCGGTGCGCCCGTAACAACTTACGCCTCAAACCCTAAACCCTAAACCCTAAACCCTAAACCCTGTTCGAAGGCCCAAGGCGCAAACCCTAAACCCTCGCAGTTGAAGCCCCAGGAGGTCCCCGAGCGTGGTTTTTTGTGGGGTTTTCGGGAACTAGGGTTTAGGGTTTGGAAATGAGGGTTTAGGGTTTGGGGTTTGGACCTGAAGACGTCTGCGAGGACGAGAGCAACGTCGTGAACCACTAAATTAGTGTTTTCTTTCATCAAATTGAACAAAAGGTCCAAACAATTCGAAAGAGAAGAAGAAAGGCGCAAACAAATTCGCCCAATTGCCTTCACAGCTCTTCGCCGCAACTCCAAGTCCACATCCACTGCGTAGTCCCGCAGCTCCGCGAGGACCTGCAAAATCAAATTAAATAATTAAATTAATTAAATTAATTAAATTAAATTAATTAAATTTAAATTAAATTAAATTATTTACTTAATTCAGTTCATTTTGTTTTGTTCGTTTTCGGCCTTTTTCGCGAAATTCGCAGAAAACCAGCGACTTCCCGCGCAGCAGCGCAAACCCTAAACCCTAAAACCTAAACCCTAAACCCTTGAGGCGACCCCAATCCCGCAATCGAGCCCACAGGGGCCCCTCTTGTGGGACCCCACAGGGGGGTTCCTGTGTTGCCCCTTGGGGGCCCCCAAGGGGCCCCTAATTACCCCGTCAACAGTTCTCTCTGTGGCCAGCAGCACGAGGGCCTCCAGCTTTTCCACTTTTACAAAAAGTGGGTCATGAAAGCCGCAGTAAAATGCCTGCAGACGCGGACATGCAGCAGCAGCAGCAGCAGCTGCTGCTGCAGCAGCAAGAGCGGCAGGAGCACCAGCAGAAAACGGGACAGCAGCAGCGAACGGGACTGCAGCAGCATGAAACGGTGATGCAGCAGCAGCTGCAGCAGCAGCAAACTGGGACGCAGCAGCAACTATAAGAGCAGCAAATGGGGATACAGCAGCAGCTACGCAGCAGGAAATGGAGAAGCACCGGCACCAGCGGCAACGGATCCAGCAGCAGCAGTAGCAAAAGGCAATCCGGCAGCAGCAGCAACTAGTCCAGCAGCAGCACCCCCAGCAGCAGCAGCAACAGCCCAGCAGCATCGAGACAGCAGCACCAAATCAGCACCAGCAGCAGCGAAAAAGCAGTAGCAGCACCTAAACAACAGCAGTACCAGCAGCAAAACAGCAGCAGCATCGAAAAAGCAGCAGCGGCACCGAAACAGCAGCAGCAGCAGCAGAAACAGCGGCAGCAGCGGCGAAACAGCAGCAGCAGCCGCGCAACAGCAGCGGCAGCCGCGCAACAGCAGCAGCAGCAGCACAACAGCAGCAGCAGCAGCAGCAGCAGCAGAACAGCAGCAGCAGCAGCAGCAGCAGCAGAACAGCAGCAGCAGCAGCAGCAGCAAACCTTGATCTCGTTGGCGAGGATGGAGGGCCTCTTTCTGAGAATTAATTGAATATTTCGCAAAGCAACAAATTGAATTTCTGGTTCCAAAGAAAGAAGAGTCACTAAAGGCGGAGACAGCTTGCGGTGTATAGACACCTCAAAACTCGCGCTCGGGACCCTGGCCACCAGCAGCAAAAACGCACCGTACGTCCTGCTGCTGCTGCTGCTGCTGCTGCTGCTCGTTGTGCTGCTGCTTCATTCTCTCCTGCTGCTGCTGCTGTTGGTGCTTCGTTAGTGCTTCTGATTTCGCTGCTGCGGCTGCTGCCGCTGCTGCTGCTGCTGCCTCGGCTCGCGCTTGTTTGTTACTTGTTTTGTGTTTGCGAATTATCCATTGCTTGTTACTTATAATTTATTGTTATTTGTTATTTTATTGTTTTTAAATTTTATTTTTGCTGCTGAATTGGCTGGCAAAAATGTCCACTCTTTATTAAAGAGCACTCGCTGCTAGCTGCTCAAAGCAGCAGCAGCAGGAGCAACAGCAGCAGCAAGAGCAGCAGCAGCAACGCCAGCAGCAACAGCAGCAACGGTAGAAGCCGCAGCAGCTGCAGCGAAAACAGCAGCAACGGAAGTTGCAGCAGCAACACGAACAGCAAGACAGAAGCAGCAACTGCAACAGTAAAGTGAGTGACAGCAGCAGCAACAGCAGCAGCAGCAGCAGCAACAGCAGCTAGAGAACGTAAAGCACCGCCAGAGACATGAAAAACACCAGATATTCCCAAGAAAATAAATAAATAAATAAATCAACAAGTTAATTAATTAGTTATATAATGAATATAATAATTGATTAGTTAAATTCTTTTGCTGCTCACTTGTCCAGCAGCTTCAATATGACCTTCACCGCGGAGAGAATAACTGAAATAAAGTAAACAAATAAACAGATAAATAAATAAATTAAAAGATAAATAAGATAATTAATTAATTAGCTGATAAATAATTGGTTAATAATTAATTAAGTGGTTAATAATTAATTAGTTAATTAATTGATTAATTATTTGATTAATTAGTTATTGATAATTAATTAATTAATTAATGATTGAAAAGAATTTCATAAGGAGAAAACAAAGAAATGCATTTACAAATAAAAACCTCCAAAGCTAAGAAGACAAATAAACAGGCAAATGAGGGGAAATTGAAACGGAGGTAAAAAGACTTTTCAAAATAAATAAAAAGAATTTAAAAAAAAGATAAGCGGGATTTAAAAAGGAGACAAAAAGAGTTTTAAACAAGAGACAAAAGGGATTTAAAAAGAAGACAAGAAGGAAACAAAAAGGGGGCAAAAAAGGAATACAAAAGAAACAAAAATAGCGCAAATGAAACCAAAAAGCCGCAAAAAAAGCAGAATTGGCCAAAATAAAACAAAAAATGGCAGCACAGAGAGGGCCCGAAATACGGACAAAAGAAACCTCAAAGGGGCCCCAGAGGGGCCCCCAAAAGTCCCCCGAGGGCCCTCAAAAGACCCCCAAAGGGGCCCCAAAGGGGCCCCTGGGGGGCTTGCGGGGGCCCCTGGGGGGCCCCCGGCGGCCCCCTTGGGGCCCCCTAGGGGCCCCTTGGGGGCCCTAAAAGGGGAAAAAAAAAGGAAATACCTGCGGGGTTTGCGTGGGAAAGGCGAGGAAGAACTCTTTCGATGACAGCCTCTGCGGCCTTGGGAGTGGGCGGATCGTAGGCGACGAGGGCGTCGAGAATGAAAACTTGGCCCCATCTGAAAAAATAAAAATAAAAATAAATAAAAATAAATGAAAATGAAGAAATTAAATCCATTTCGAAGTGTTTTAGAGCTTTTGGACAGCCTCGTGGGGCTAATTGGACTCTAAAATCCGCTAAATGGAGAAAATTGGAGTTAAAATGAATTTAAACTAATTTAAATTAATTAAAATGGATTAAAACGAATTAAAATGAGTTTAAATGAATTTAAATGGACTTAAATGAATTTAAATGAATTTAAATCGATTTAAGTCAATCAAATTAACTAGAATTAAAATTAGAATTAAATTTAAAGGTAATTATAATTCAGTAAGAAGCGGGAGGAAAGAAAACACTTTGGGGAGCTCTTCAACAAAAAGAAATTGAAAGAAATTAAGAGAAATTAAAAGAAATTAAAAAATAAAAAAGAATAAAATGAAATGAAATAAAATGAAAGAAATGAATTGAAAAAAAAGCATCAAAAGAGATTAAAAGAAACAAAAGGAAATAAAAGAAATGAAAAGAAAGAAAAACTAAAGAGACAGAAAGGCAAAAAATAGAAAGAAAAAGGGGAATAGTAGGGCCACTAGAAAGATATTAAAAGGAGATAAAAAAAAACAAAAAAGAAGCAGAAAAGAAACAAAACAAAAGCAAAAAAGAAATAAAAAAGAAATAAAAAAGGGACAAAAATGAAACACAAAAACAAAGAAACAGAAAAGAAACAAAAAAAAGAAACAAAATAAAACCAAGAAAGAAATAAAAAAAGAAGCAAAAAAGAAATGAAAATAAAACAGAAAAGAAACAAATAAGAGGAAAAAAGGCAACTGGAGAGGCGGAAAGGGAGGGCAAAGAGATAAAAGAAAAAGGAAATAAATGAGGATAAAACAAAATTGAGAATAAAATAAAATAAAACAAATGAAACTTAAAAAGTATATTAATTAATTAATTAATTAATCAATTATTTCATTAATTAAAAATTAAAAATTAAAAATTAAAAATAAAAAGAATTTACTCAGTGCATTCGTTTAAAGCGCTCAGCAGCCGGGAGACGCAGGAGCTGTCTTTTGCTGAAAAGAAAAAACAAAAAAAATTAAATTAAATTAAATTAATTAACTAAATTAAATTAATTAATCAATCAAATGCGAAGTTACTTAAATTAAATTAAAAATGAAGTAAAATGAATCAAGAAACAGGGAAAGACCGAGGCGACGGCAAGTTGAGAAAAAACCGAAAAGACACAAAAAAAGATCAAAAAAAGAAAATAAAAAGACAAAAAACGAGACGAAAAAACACACAAAAAAGGGGACTAAAAGGCGACAAAGAGGACACAACAAGAAGCTCCGAAAGAGCCAAAAAGAAGTCTAAAAAGAGCCGAAAAGAAGTTTAAAGAGAGTCAAAAAAACCGGGGAAAAGTAGAAATAACGGCCCAAAATGGCTCAAAGAACGCCAAAAGGGCTCCGAAAAGCCTCAAAAAAAACCCGCAAAAGAAACCAAGGAAGCATCATTCGAAAAGAAGAATAAAGGTCAAAAAACTCCGCAAAAATCCCAAAAAAAGACCAAAAAAGCAAAAGAAACCAAAACAAAGCAAAAAATGAAACTCCCGGGGGCGCAGCCCAGCGACCGCAGCGTAGCCGCATCTTGCGGACGGCCAAAGGGGCCCACAGAGGCCCAAAAGAGGCCCCAAAGTAGCGAAAAAGCCGAAAAAAACTGGAAAAAAAGCAGGAGAAAGAGAAATAAAAGAGACAGCAAGAAAGACGAGCTTTAGGAGATGCAGAAAAAGAAAAAAAGGAGAAAAAAAGATGGACGGAAGTGGCGAAAATACCAAAAAGAGACTTGAAATGGCAACGCCCCGAAGCCCGAGAGATCTCCCCCAAGGCAGCCACCGCGTTGGATACCACCAAAGGGTTGGAGTCCAAAAACATATTCAGCAGAAGCTGGAGAAGAGGCTGGCCGTGGACCATGTCGGGGCGAACGTCTGCAAACCCTAAACCCTAAACCCTAAACCCTAAACCCTAAACCCTAAACCCTAAACCCTAACCGCGTGAATTCTGTAGAAACGCATGGTACGATTCGAGGCAGTCTCATCAAGCCGAGCAAGACTGAGCTTCAAACCCCGCAGCCTCGACCCCAATCCCTGATGCCTAACCCCTAAACCCAAAACCGTAAACCCTAAACCCTAGACCCTAAACCCTAAACCCAAAACCCTAAACGCTAAACGCACCGTAGAGTTTGGCAATGGCGACTGCTGCAGTTTTGCGCACATAAGGGTCTGGGTCGGTGCAGCAGCGCGTGAGAGGTTCGGAGATGTGTTCAGCAACAGCTTCCAGCCTAATGTAGGCCATTGTCCGTAGCGCCAACGCCCTGCAGCAGCAGCAGCAGCAGCAGCAGCAGGCCATGCAGCAGCAGCAGCAGGCTATGCAGCAGCAGCAGCAGGTCACGCAGCAGCAGCAGGAGCAGCAGCTCAGTTCCCCATCCCCACCGTCCGCCTCCCCAGCCCACCCCACCCCCCGCAGCCGCAGCCGCAGCCGCAGCAGCCGCAGCCGCAGCCGCAGCCGCAGCCGCAGCAGCAGCCGCAGCAGCAGCAGCAG